CGCGGCATGAAGGCCGCGGGCTACGTGGGCACGGCGTCCAAGTCTATGAGCCTGCGCGACGAGGGCAGAGACCTGATCACGCTGGCCGTGGCCCAGAACGCGCTCATGGACGACCTGCTCCTCCCAAAGGTCGCGCAGGCGGCCGTGCGCGCGAGCGCGCGCGTGCGCTACGCGCCTTCCTGGCTCGGCCTGCCGGAGCTGCGCGCGGGCGTCGCGCGGCTCTACAGCTCGCACGTGCTCCGCGACAACTTGGTCACGGCCGACGAGGTCGCGATCACGTCGTCGGCGACGTCGGCCATCGACGCGCTGCTGTTTGCGGTCTTGGAGAAGGGCGACGCCGTGCTCACGGTGGCGCCCTTCTACGTGAGCTATACCAGGGACGTGGAGGCGCGCGCGGAGTGCGTGCTCGTGCCCGTGCCCGGCGCGACGGACGGCGTCCCCACCGTGGAATCGCTGGAGGAGCACTTCCAGTGGCGCGAGCCGCGACCGAAGGCCCTGCTCGTGGCGTCGCCGCACAACCCCTGCGGCTCCGTGCTGGGCGCGCAGACGTTGAAGGACATGGTCAGCTGGACGCGGCTCCGGAACGTCCAGCTGATCGTCGACGAGGTCTTCGCGCTGTCGACCTTCGAGCCCGGCGCGTTCACGTCCGTGCTGGACGTCTTGGACGCGGCGGAGGACAACGCGCACGTCCACGTCGTCTACTCGGCTTCGAAGGACCTCGCGCTCAGCGGCTACCGCGTCGGCGCGCTGATCACGAAGAACCCGGCGGTGCTCGACAGCTTCAAGTGCCTCTCCATCTTCTGCAACGCGGCGACGCTGCCCCAGGCCGTCGTCGCCGAGCTCCTGGACGACGACGCGTGGCTCCGCGACGCGTGGATCCCCGAGCTCCGGTCCCGGCTCAAGGCGTCCTGGCGCCACGCGAAGAAGCACTGCGACGCCCACGCCCTCCGGCGCCTCGGCAGCGACCCCGAGGCGGGCCACTTCTGCCTGCTGGACCTCCGCGGCGTCGCCGAGGGGCCCGCGCTGAACGCGGCGCTGGAGAAGGCGGGCGTCGTCCTCACGCCGGGCCCGCTCATGGGCGCGCCCCACGGCATCTTCCGCCTCTGCCACGCCGCCGAGCCCGACGCCCGCGTCGCCGAGGCCGTCGCCCGCATCGCGGGCGTCGTCAACGCCGCGCCGCCCCTCCCGGAGCCCCCGGCGGGCAACACGCCCACGTGCAAGGCGCCGGCGCCCGGCTGCGCCCAGTCTTGAGGGAGGAGGGTTCTTACTTAGAAGCCGCCGCGGGGCATCCAGAAGGAGGCGACGAAGGGCAGGACGTCGTGCGGCAGCGCGGCGCCGAGGATCTTGCGGAGGATGGAGACGTGGACGGCTCGCTGCGCCGCGGCGAAGGACGCGAAGCCGCCGGCCTTGTCGATCTTGTCCACCAACGCGAAGCAGTCCTCGTTCTTAGGGACACGCACCGCGTTGGCCCGGCGAATCGCCTTCGTTGGGGACGGCGCGCGCCGGCGGCTCCTCGTGACGAGCTACGCGGCCGCCGCGCGCGGCGCGCCGCGGCCCCGGGGCGTCGCCGAGTTCCGCGACGCGGGCGGCGGCGAGGCGGCGCTCGTCGCCTGGCGCCTCCCCGCCGACGGCGCGACGAAGCCCTGGGGCCTCGCGGCGGCGAAGGACGGCGCGGTGCTCACGTGCGGCCGCGGGCCCGCGCCGCTCGTGGTCCAGCGCGCCGGCGGCACGCCGCCGGCGGCGCTGCTGCCCTGGGACGCCCTCGCCGCGGCCGCCGGCGGCGACGGCGCCGGCGCGCCGGACGCGAACGTCCTCATCCTCGCGTAAGTCTCAAT